ACTGTTACATGCCCAGTTGGGCGATGTACATAGAAAACCGAGGATCCGCAATGTGATAAAAAGGACTGAATGGACAATGCAGTGCAAGTAGAATCTCAACAAGCAATGTGCATTCTAATACATACAAAATGGTGCTGAATAGCGCAGGGAAGACTTAGATACAAAGCCTGACCTGACCGGGACTGACCTCATTCACATAGTATCAGATAGCGAAGCAGAATGCTAGAATACTAATGACTAGCCCAATCAATGTTTGAACTCAGACCAAACATACATCGTATCCATCACCAGGTGTGAAGGAGCCTGGCGCTGTACACAGGAAGAAAGCGCCAGGTCCAGACATACACAGACGAAGAGGAGGGAATCAGACGAAAGGAGGGAGAGAGATGGGAATGTCGTCAACACCAAGTCTTTGTCACAAGTCCCAAATAATCCCTCGTTGCAATGTCTGAAGTCCAAAAGTCGAGTCTGGATCCGATGTCACCAAGCTCTTTCTCTCTTCTCTCGTAGTCTGCAGATGCAGTGAAGTCAGATGATGAGAGGGGGAGAAGGAGATGGTGGACTGAGAAGAGGAAGAAGAAGAACTCTCTCTCTCTCTAACGAGCCAGATACTAACCTGTGATGTTGGCGCTGTACTGCAGGTACCTCGAAGACGAAGCTGGAGCAACGGCGCTGCAGGTAAGTACCTCTGGCCTCCGCCCAATCTCTCTCTCTCTCTAGTGCTATCCTAGCTATGGCGCCCAGCGCTGGAGACTACAGCTACCTACTGCGCCCAGCGCTGAAGACTAAAAGCTAACGCTACTACTACCCTGCAGCGCTCCCTCCAGAGTGCTGCTGCCGAATCCTGAAGACTACAACTGCCTCCTGCCTACCCATGAAGTGCATGGGAAGTCCCTATGTACTACCTCGGCCTGCCTGAAGGGCGAGCCAGGCCGAGGAGGCTTCTCTTGCCAATGCCGAAGTTTGCCAGGGGCTGGCTCTGCAGCAGTTGCTTGAGGCTGGCGTGGGAACAGGCTAAGAATAGCCTGTTCCCGAAACCCTGGTGCGGTGCCTGAGTTTCAGGGCCGGTCGTTCTGATGAACGACCGAAAATGGCCCTTCGTTTCAGGCTAAAAAGGCTGTTGCCATTTTAGTCTGAAACGACACAGGGACTGTAGGCCCCTGTTGTCAGGCTTTTGGGCTGAATAGTCACGGGGCCTGTAGGCCCTGGTTTTCAGGCTTTAAGCCTGAATTTCAGGCTTTCAGCCTGAGGGATGCAAGGCCTGGAAAATGGCCCTCGTGTGCAGGCGCAGCATGTAACAGAACAGACAAAATATAATTACCCTTTTACTCTGCCTCTTTTTATAACGTGCAAGTCGGCCGTAAAGGCACACGGGGATGTGGGCAGCTGGCGCTCAACCATCATCAACGTGGCCATCCTTGTACATGATAGGCACAGTAAGAAGGTAACTACAAAAACAAAGAAAATGGGAGGCCTCCCAATGCTAGCTGATGAAAATATAATCAAGAAAATGATATAACGAATTTTATTGTGTCTTGTATTGTTTTTACTGCTGGGTTGGCCCATCTCAAGTGTGTTGCATTGTTTGTGTAAAGGTGAGATGCCTTGTTTGTTTAAAGGTAAGGTTCTGAATAGATATTGACTTCACAAGCAAAACTGTTTCATTGGTGGATTGGCTCATCTTGAGAATGCTTCATTGTCTGCAATACAGGAAAAGTTGCTATGACTTTGGATCTACTCATCTGGGTGGAATAGGGGAAGTTGTGGTGATATTTTATAACACGCACACACACACACACACACACACACACCGCACCTTACCCCCTTCCTTCCTCCCTCCTCTTGTGTACTACTAGCAATGCATTACTTTAAAAAAAATGTTCTCTTGCGAGCGCCTGCAAAGCACTGCCACGTGGCAACTCATGATTTGAGGGAGGAGTAAGGAAGGAAGGAGGGAACAAGGAGCGAGGAGGGAGGGAAGGAGGAAGAATGAATGGAGGAAGCGGAAGGAGGGAAGGAGGGAAGGAGGAAGAAGGGAGGAGGAAAGAAGGGAGGAGGAAAGGAGGAGGAGAACTCAACGACGTCAACAAAAAAGACAAAGAGGAAAAAAATGAAAAAAACGCATTGCCAAGACCACGGCTGACCATCCCAGCCGCCCCCCGGTTTATCAAATTTCCTTGGCAACGACCTCATCCACGCCACCCATCCGGACGTCCAATTCCAGACATCCAGACCCGGTCTGTCTGGATTCTGTTAGGGATGTCGGGGTTGCTACCATGAGAAAAAGCGAGTAAAATAAAAACCGACGTTCATAATGCCCGGGCATTATTTTCGGGTGAAGACGGTAGAACATGTTGATGTGTGAACACTCCTGTGGACTGTTCTGCTACCATGCACTTGTTTCATAGAGTTCATTTCCTTTTGGGCAGAGTGATTATCTGCATTTTGCCTCCATCTGTCTCCAGTTGGCCAAATTTGACCTGCATTGACACCGCCGTGTGCATTTGCCTGTTGCATCTGTTTTCTGTTTCCAACTGAAGCCTTCCTGAACACACGCAGCTGGAGCAAGCTGCGGAAAAAGGAACAGTTTTCCTTGCCGAGTTTGCTCTACCTTGTGCCCGGTCAGAGTCTGCCTCGGTGGTGAACACAGTTAATGACACTGACTGGAGAACATAACCTTATGGCATGAAGCGAAGCGACGTTGCATTGATGTGCAGCTCCATAATATCTTTCCGGATGCTCCATATATATCTGCTTGTCATGGAAATGAGCAGGATAGCAACAATGCTCTGCAGCGTGACCATGTCAAGACCCATGCTAGCTGCACGTGGCTCACATATTTCTGCTCAGGCTTCAAGTGTGCACCCTCCTTCAGCCTAGACCTCACCCACTTGATCACAAGTGCCCCGGCCTTTTCAGCTGTGATACCACGTGTCGGCAGTGAATGCCCTAGTAACTGCCAAGTGTTGCTTCAGTGGCACTGGTTCCTCCATGGGTCTCCCTATCAGATTCCATGTCTTGAGCATGGTATTGGTCAGGAAAATTGTGTCCCCCCATAGATCAATATGGGCCGGTAGAGAGAATATTAGCATGGTCCCTGCGCAAGGATGGCCTTCGGGACCTCCGTTAAAACTGGAACAATACAGAGAAGATAAGAATGGCCCCTGTGCAAGGGTGACTGACACAGGTAAAGTGACAAGTATGTGTAGTGAGTCTCGCTTGAGTGGTTAAGTATTAACAGGGTGCATGAACGGGGGAGACTGGAAGTGATTAGAGTGTTAAAGTATCGACAGGTTGCATGAACGGTGGAGATGTGCATCATAACGCTGATAACAGTAAGTGGCTTGATTATATTTGCCATTCTAACACAGAAGGGTGTCTTATCGAGATAACCGTCTTTCTCGAGGAACTCCATTATGTTAGCCATCTTCGCAGAAAGACTGTTTTTTGCTCACTCTGTTGCAGTCATTAAGCTGTCCTTCGATTGCCAGCTTTTTTTTTGCAGTTGTTGGGTGGGGTGCCCAAATGTTATTTGTCTATTATCAGCTACTAGTTCTCGCTTAAGTTTTTCAAGTTTTTGATGATAATGTCCTATTCCACACTGTGATTCGCATGCAGGAGAAGCGTAGGGAGAAGGATCTTAGAGCTGCTGAAAGGGAAGAACGCCTGGCAGCTTGGAGAACAAGAATGGCAACAATGGCAGCTGTAAATGGAAGCCAAGAGGGAGCCGCTGCGGCAATTGAGAATGTGGCGGAAGCAGAGCAAGAGCCGACTTTTGAAGTCCCTGAACATATACGAGAATTCAAAGGCGACCACAGTGACAGGCGTGCTGTGCTAGCACATAAGGAGATGGTGCGGCGAGAGGAAGAGCGATTGCAAAGGTCAGACAGAGCTTGTTCCACGAATTCGATCTGCACTCTAAAGCGGAAGGATCGCAAAATAATCAAAAAGAAAGTGAGAACATATGGGAAATGTGGGCAATCAAGTGCTCTCGTTGTAAGGTGACCGTAAAGATCCGAGAAGAACGGCTCCCAATTAAGAGCAAGCTAAAATGGCAAATGCAGTTCACTGAGTTCATCCTTGTGAAACCACCCATGTATGTGATGTCTTTGGAGGTTGGAGCCAAATACAAGGAGGCTTGCGGATGCCACCCTTCGGCAAATGGTGGCCTATTGGGATATGGTTTGGACCAGCACCTTAAAGCCCAGGTTCAGTGCTTCTAGCTCGGAGGCAATGCTTCTCACAAAATGTTTTCCTTACAGCTTAACTGTACTTGCATCTCGTGGGTACCTTGCTGTTTGTGTATTGAAATGAAATTCAAATCACGAAATTACTCGTCTGTCGATTTTTGTCTCCGAATTGCCTAATACATTCCAAGTGTTCTTTTTTTTTTTTTGGGGGGGGGG